TCTGACGGGGCTTTCAGAGTAAGTGCGTGGAATAATATACCAGACAGCAGTAGTAAGTTTTCTGCTTTCCACTGGAAACGGTACAGTACTGACTCTAAGTAGATCGTGACAAGTATGTATATTTTAATCCCCCAAACCATGACAAAACCTAAGATACGTAGTAAAAACAAATGCAATGATAAATTAAAAGGTAATATTAAAAAAGGCCTAAATTACCACAAAGATGGGAAGAACGACCAAGTAAAAACAAACAGAAACGAAGAAAATGGTATGCCAAAATCCAAACAAGACTAATTTTATTAAATGTAAGTGGCCTAAAACCATCAATTAGAAGACAGGATTTTTTTCAGAAGAGATTTAAAAACTGATTTGCTACTCACAAGAAACTAACGTCAAACATAATGATACACGTAGACTGAAAGGAGAAGGTTGAAGAAAGAGATCTCATGCAAATGCCGATCAAAAGAAAGCTGGAGCGGTTACATGAATATCAGACAAGGGAATAAAAAAGGACATTCTGTCACGGTAAAAGATCATCTCAACAACAAGATCTAATGGTCTTAAACGTGCATGCGGCTAACAACAGAGCTGCAAAACAGAGGAAGCACAGACTAACAAACCGAGAGAGACAAATCCAGAATTGCAGTCGGAGACTTCAACACCTCTCTCTCTTCTATCCGGCCACGGACGGAACTACCAGCACGCAGAAAAATCAGTACCTCAGCACCAGTGCAGAAGAACTGAACACCGCCCACCATCCAGATCCAACGGACATTCAGGCACGTTCTTTCAAGTACACGTGGAACGTTCACCAAGACAGACCGTCGCCTGGCTCCGAAACAAACCTTTTTAAGTTTAAAGGAACTGAAACCATATCAGACACGCTCTCTGACCATAACAGAATCAGACTAGAAATCAGTGACAGATACAAGAAAACCTTCCACCCTCCATTTTAAAAGAGGCTGAAGTCTGAGCTCGTGGAGCAGGGCCCAGCAGGCACGGGAGGCCTGGAGGGCCACGGATTCGGCCGCTGCCGCTCCCTGGTCCCGATCCATAGGGACCGCCGGTGGCCGGCAACTCCGGGGCTACCTGTGAGCCACAGACTGTTCCGGCTTGCACCTGCGTGCTGACCACCACTGCCAACTGCTGGGTTACGGAAATGCGGTGTGTAAAGCGCAGCCAACTTCAGCAGGCCTCTGCCGGCAGACCCAGAAAGGGCATCCGGGTCTCCTTCCCTTAACTCGACAGGACTTCCCCGTCCCACCTACACCTCTGCATATTCTTGGGAACCGTAACCAACCCCCAATTCCCATCTTTGGGGAATCCTAACACACTCTGCGGCCTCAAAGCGGCCATCAGGAAAACAAAGCGCACTCGATTTCCTAACATGTTCTGGAATTTCCCGAGACGACAACGTGTGGAGGTTAACAGATACCTGGTCAAACAGATAGACTGTGACATCATCAAAAAACGTCACCGCCTTCTTTTCTTTCTTCCAGTCGTCCGGCAGCTGGTCGATGGCGACAGAGGCCGCAGGTTTCAACAGGCTGCGCAGATGCCTCCCGTCCTCGTTGCTGAGGATCACGGGCACCGGGTGCTCGGTCTCGTCCTCCGACTCGGAGCTCAGGCTGTGCAGGTGAAACGCCCGCAGGTCTTCGTCCGAGTCGTCGCTGTTTTCATCCTCCTCGTCGGCATCCATGCCGTCCTCGGAGAGGTCCAACATGCCCGACACTCCAAGTTTCCCCAGGTACTTCCCTTCGACGTCCGGCTCCTTCAGCTTGGGGCCCTCGGAGTGGCCGCACGACGACTTCTCCGCCGTCACGTCCGCCGCGCTGCTGGGGCACAGGGTGGAACTCGCAAAGGCAAGGAGCTCGTTGGTGTTGGTTCCGGTGGAAGCGAGCGTGCAGGCGCGCTCCTCTGGTGCCTCGAAGTCATCGCTGCTGCTCAGCTCGGAGTTCCCCAAACTCAAGGGACTGCCGGCCTCGTCTTCGGGAGGCGGCGTCTGTTTGGAAACGTCAGGTGGTGCCGGTTCCGAAGTGTCTCTGGACACCGGGTGACCGGAACTGTGCAAAGCGGGGAGACAGCTTCGGTCTGGCTGGCCGTGGCTGGTTTCCAGGCAACTGTCCTTGGCGCCAGGACTCTGCTCCGGCACGACCGGCTCAGGCAGCGGCTGGTCCGTTACCACCACCAAGGCCGAGGCCAAGGGTCCCGGGACGCCCTCGGACTTCTTGTCAGGCTCAGAGTCATTATCTGAGAAGTAGGCGGAGTCTCGGTACGAGCTCTGAGAGCCAGGCGCGAAAGTCTGCGAGGCCACTTCCGTACCCCTGTGGCCGTCGGCTGCGTCTGAGATGACGATGACCGGGTTGGGGGGCAGGGTGCCACGGCTGCCGTCGCCCGCCGTGGCCGCCTCCGCGGCCGAGGCGCCGTCGGGGGCGGGGTGCAGGGTCCATTCAGGGGACTCCAGGTTCTCCGTCTCGTAGCCACTGTCTGCAGGCTTATCGGGGGGCACGAGTTTCTGAGGAGTGTGAGAGCCTAAGGATCCCAATAAAACGTCACGGACATCCACCGAATCCAGAGAGTCCGGGGTCTCCACGGACTGTTCCGAAGTCGGAATGGGTGTTGACAAGCTGTCTTCTAGGAGGCTGTCTTGACTGGTCGAGTCTGAGGACAGGGCGGACACCAGGCCCCCCTCCTTGGCAGCCGCTTTACAATGCAGCTCACTCAGAGCGTCCGCACCTTCCGAGCTTTTCTCCAGCGCACGGTCAGCATGTCGGTCTTCTGAGAGCGGCTGATTTGGGAAGTTCTGTCTCAATTCTGGAACACTGCTTCCTATACTCACCTCATTGGCAAAAATGTCATCAGTAAGAACCGGGTCACTTTTGGTCAGTGTCAAGGCCTCTTCGCTTTGGCGGGTCAGGTCCCAGGACTGGTCACCAACACCGTGTGCTCTGGCAGCCGCTGCGGGAGTTTCTACCGTGATGGTCACAGGGTCCGGATTCGTTTCTTGGCAGAGACCGTCTTCGTGGCTACGGGCATCCGAGCATGTGGGTTCTCCCTGCTTCGGGGACGTATCTGGAAGTAAGCGGGGAGATGTTCCTTCTGTCTCCAGCGAGGTAGGAGGTACCCGCGCTTCTGGGGAAGACTGTAACGAGGTGTTCAAAGTGCTGTCCTTGAACACGACACCTGCATCCTGACCCTTGGCGCTGAGGCTTTCCTGCAGCAAAGGAAAGCCTGGTTTGTTCTCGGCAAACTTCACTTCAGTACCTAAAGAGTTCCTATGTGGAGTTTCTAATATCGTTTCGGTGAAGCCAGCGTTTTTAAGTTCTGTTTGAAGATCATTTAGATGTTCTTTGTCAGACAGTGAGTCTTTTAGTAGGTTTTTCTCTTGAAGAAACAAAAAGTTTGCTGACAGCTCTTGAACGTTCAGTGGATCAAAATTATCTTGGTGCATGAGGGTTTCTGATAAGCAAAGAGGCTCGCCGTCAAAAAGCTTACGGGGCTTATCTTTCTCAGAGTGGCACGTTACAACGGACTCTCTGGAGTTGTCCGGACTTGAACCGAAAGCGGTCGGCTTCAAGTCGGTTTGAACTCCATTTAGTTCCATCAAGTCAAATATCTTTTGGTGACTGGGCAGATCCTCTGATTTGTCAAGATCACTAAATATACTGTTGAAAGGGCTTTCAGGGCCCCTGGGGACCTGCACGTCCTCGGGTACGTTGGAATCTTTGGGGTCTGCGCCGCTTTGGAAGAAATCCTCATCTGTACTGGACTCCTCTAATTCAAGGTTCCGGAGTGTCAGGAGTTGGGGCGCCTCCTCGTGTATCCTTTCCGGGTTATCCATTTCAGTTGTGAGCAGTGCGGGTGGGTAATCAAGCTCCAAGTTGCTGCCGCCTTTTTCTTCCAACTGGATGTAATAGTCGCTTCCAACAGAAAGGTTGTGGGCATCAAACACAGGGACCACTCCGGGGGCCCCACGGGGCACATCCTGGCCACTGTCATCTTGTTTCCCCGGCCCGGGGTCTGAAAGTGAACTCTCAAAAACTTCAACTGGAAAGAAGATGCTCGTGTAGGACAAGGCTTCGTCCGGGGGGCCCCGACCGCGCTCGTCAAAGTGGTCGTGCTTGGCTGCCTCCCAGACATACTCAAAGCTCAGGCCCTGGCTGGTCTCGGTCACGGTGAGGACTTCCTCCACCTCACGACCCAGCCGGTCCCTGGCGAAGTGGTCGAGGATTGGGAATGCCGCATTACTTGAAGTGTCTCTGCTGTTTGTATTCGGTTTAAGAGCATTCCACTGCTGCTCAAAGTCGACTTCTGAGTCCCTTTGGCTTTGCATCCGCAGGTAGGTGAGCAACCTGTGCACGTCCTCGGCCGCTGGTCTCTTGTCCGGGGACAGCCAGCAGAACTGCAAAACTTCATACCTGGGCAACGATTCAGAGGTGATTAATGGAATGATGGTAAAACTGCTTTAAAACAAGAAAGGACTTCACGAGGACTCCCAAGCCAACTCGCACCTCAAAAGTTTCTATGCTATAATCACTGTCAGCCACGTGAAGGATCTCGGTTCACGGTGAAATACACTGTGGCACAAGAGGAAATGAAGAAACATAAGCGTTGGGCCTACTAATTTTGTGTGTTCCCGGGACACGTCCCAGTATCAGTGTTTGTCATTTTCCTTCTGGTGTCTACCCAGTGACTTATCCCCTGAATTTAGAAACAGTTTTAACATGATCTCCTCTTTAAAAAATCGCCACAGGTGGTCTACGTAGTAAAGAATGCACTTGTCTTACGTTGTTTAGATTGACTCGTTTTATTTTGTAAGAATTCTCAGAGACAAATGCGGTAGTGACTAATCTCTAACTCCTCCCCCCACTGAAAAGTAACACTACAATCTTACGTAGCACATGGTCTCCTTAGATCATAAAAGGGGCTGAAAGCGGAGGGAAACAGTAGAAAATGAAGTCCAAAGAAGAGAGCAAGGGGGAGCTGGGTCTTCGAAGGGTTGGCTGAATAGAGCCAACCTCCCACGACATAGCCACGAACAAAAGGGAAGACAAAGGCAACTTCAAAGTGTTGACTGTAGGCAGTATGTGTCAAGTTATTCCAGGTGAGACAGTTCAGAGCGGTGTGGGAGCTGAGCACTGCCTCAGTGCATGGGGTTGCCTCGCTTCACGGGCAGTGCCTACTGGGCAGGCAGTGGTGTAGACAGAGGCTTAGAAAGAGGTGAACGTGATCCTGAATGGAAACGGAGTAAGAACTGGTCTGAAGACTCGTAAGAAGTAAATTTGTTTTGCAAATGTCAATATGCACTATGCAAATTAGCTTCTGCCGCCAATTTAAATATTACCCTTCCTATGCTCTTTTCTCACATATTAGGTATCACTTACAAAAATAACGTAATTTTTTTTTTTAAGTATATTTATTTTTGAGAGGGACAGAGCATGAACGGGGGAGAGGCAGAGAGAGAGGGAGACACAGAATCCAAACCAGGCTCCAGGCTCTGAGCTGGCAGCACAGAGCCTGACGTGGAGCTCAAACTCACGTGTGAGATCATGACCTGAGCTGAAGTTGGATGCTCAACCAACTGACTGAGCCACCCAGGCGCCCACAAATAGCTTCATTTTAAAACAATTCCACAATAGGAAACTCCCTAATGTTGACTTTTCTAATTGGTTCAGACTTCACATTTTTTCTTATTGCACAGAATACATAAACTCCTGCCTGTTGTACACTTTTTCCAAAACTAACATTACATTTTTAAAATATATGTTAATTCTAAAATCAGTTGTGGGGCACCTGGGTGGCTCAGTCGGTTGAGCGTCCGACTTTGGCTCAGGTCATGATCTCACAGCTCGTGAGTTCAAGCCCCACGTCGGGCTCTGTGCTGACAGCTCGGAGCCTGGAGCCTGCTTCGGATTCCGTGCCTCCCTCTCTCTCTGCCCCTAACCCACTCACATTCTGTCTCTGTCTCTCTCAAAAATAAATAAATCATTAAAAAAAACAAAATTAAAATCAGTTGTGAATGATACACAAATCTTGGCTTTTCACAACATTTATGGTTTAAAAACAGGGAATAAATATACTGGGGCGCCTGGGTGGGTCGGTAGGTTGAGAGTCCGACTCTTTCTTTTGGCTCAGGTCATGATCCCAAGGTCATGGGATCCGGCCCTGTGTCAGGCTCCTCGATGAGAGCCTGCTTAAGATTCATATTCTCTGTCCCTCCCCTCCCCTGTGCCCCTTCCTCCACTGGTGCTCCCCACCCCCTCTAAGATAATCAATCAATCAATCAAAATGGGGAGTATACAACTAACACCCACAGACAGAGGGTTTCCTTATCTTCTGAAGACAACAAAAAAGTAAAGTAGAGTTACCCACCATCTGTCAGAATAAGGCTGCTCCAGCTGGGGCTTAGGGAGTTTTGTGTCTCTCTCTCGAATGACCTGATTGAGAACATCTAAGTTGGAGAGGTTGGAATAAGGCTGAGCAGCATTATCAAAGAGTTCCCAAAGTGTCACACCTAGGGACCTGTGGAAAAAAGGAAACAGTCATTTCCTCCTCCCTTTAGATGTCGAATTTTTAACACCCACATTTTTATTAGTGACTTTAAGAATAAAGTGTGTACTGAAAAGGTTATTAAAGATAGCTCTTTAACGTGATTTTTAAAAAAAGGCACCTTTAATACAATGAGGTCAAGTATGCCTCCTCACATTTGCTACAGAGTACTCTAGAAGCTTTGGCCAACGCAGAAAGGAAAACTTAAACAAGGAACGGGCATAATTATAGATAACAGCTAGTGTAACTGTCCACTTTGAAACTCAAGAAATTTTTTGGCACATCTTTAGAACGATGTAAGAGTGCTCGCTTCGGCAGCACATATACTAGAACGATGTAAGAGTTCAGTAGAACGGTGAGATACAAGAGGAACATCCTGAGGCAGACAAAGAAATCCCGCTCGCGACAGTTGTAAACAGTTGGGTTTGGCTGCTGTTTCGGAGGGGCTTCTTCCCGTCATGCTGCCAGCTACCCGTGGGCCAGAAGAGGCCGCCTGCCGGAGCCTCTCCATGCCTCCAGGCCCACGGCTGTTACCCCAGGCAGAAGGGAATGCCCCCTCCTGGGACCCATCCCCCTCCCTCACACCAAGTCCTCTGTCGCCACGGACACAGCCTCTGCGGCTCAGCCAGAGGGACACTTACTCTCCACCTCCTCTAAGCAGTCTCTGCGTCTCCACCTGGGTCGCAGGTGGCATCCCCTGGCCACTGCAATGGCTCCCAAGCCTGGCTGACTATCTGTGTCATCTGGGAACCCCCCACCCCAAGGACTCTCACGTGATAATGTAGGTGTGGCCTAGGAAACTGCATTTAAAGGGGCGCCTGGGTGGCTCTGTCGGTTAAGCAGTTAAGCGTCTGACTTCGGCTCAGGTCACGATCTCGTGGTTCGTCAGTTCGAGCCCCACATCGGGCTCGGCGCTGACAGTGCAGAGCCTGCTTGGGATCCTCTCTCTTTCTCTCTCTCTCCCTCTCTCTCTGTCCTTTCCCCCACTCACGATTTCTCTTTCTCTCAAAATAAAAAAATAAACTTAAAAAAAAAAAAAAAGTTCCCTAGTGATTCTGACATCCATCCAGGTTTGGGTGTGGATGGTTTACATGACCTGGGATCGAGGCCTCCAGGTGTTTGTTTGAATAATAAACCGCATTAAATAAATACGTTTATTATCTGATACTGTACAGTACAATGTAACTTATGAGTTAATTTACGTTAACTTCACAAATCAGTGAAAGAAAGCACATTCAGAATCTAAGTTGAGAGATCACTTCTGTCAGAGGAAACAAAATAGACCCAAATCTCCCAACTCAATTCAAGAAGGAAAACACACCTTCTCGCCGGCACAGACCTGCCAGAGGCAGAGGGTCGTTCTGGATACAAAACAAGTTTAAGACGCTATCGATGACTTTAGGGAGTCTACAATTTAAGTGAGGAAAATAAGAAATTCGCTGCCCCAGCCGGTGTGAGCTTGGGCACATGACCCTACCCGTCGCAACTCTCCAAATGCCTGCTCTAAAACTCCCTCTCTCGAGAAGGCCCGTTCCCAAACCAAAGCCCTCGCCGGCCCCTGGCTGACCCTGTTGTTCAGGAAGCATGAAGCATGGGCTTTCTCGACTCCCCACCCCCCACCCCTAACATCTCCGGTCTCCCTTTCTCATCTCCTCACACAGGCCACAGAGAAGAGCCGTGTCCCCTCATCAAGGTCCGTCCCTGCGCCGGGGCTCTCTGTGCTACGCTGTGCAGTCTCCTGCAGGACAGCCGCCGTCAGTCACGGCCCCTCACCCCTAGCTGTGGAATTCTTTACCTTGAACTGGCCCTTGCCTCCTCGAGTACCACTGGCCTCCTCCTTCTGGGCAGAAAAATGTCCTGGGGGTCTTACCCACCCTTCCAGCAAAACTCTGAGAGAGGTTCCTCCCGTCCCCCCTGGCACAGGGCAGCGCGGCCCCTGCCGCAGGCTGACATCGGCAATGCTGCCCGCCCTACCGCTAGACTTGTCACGGTGTCAGAAACCAGGGGTGGGCTCTGTGTCCAGGAGCACAGGCTAAGCTCTCAGGTTAAACACCCTGCTAGGAATAGTAAAAATTTGGACAAAACATTAAAATTATCTTTTTAAAGGCATCACAGATGAGAGAAGATAGCATGGAATTACCAGGAAAAACCCTAGAACTTGAAGAGCTAAGGAGAATACTAAAACCACCTCTGAGGGGCCGCTGGGTGGATCAGTCAGTTGAGTGCCTGACCCTTGATTCTGGCTCAGGTCATGATCTCATGGTTTGTGGGATTGAGCCCCACACGCCAGGCTCCAAGCTGTCAGCACTTGGTATTCTCTCCCCCTCTCGCTGTCCCTCCCCCCACCAAAAAAATAAATAAACTTGAAAAAAAAATAGAGGGGCACTTGGGTGGCTCAGTCTGTTAAGTGTCTGACTTCGGCTCAGGTCATGATCTCATGGTTCGTGAGGGGGCTCCCAGACACTGACTCTTCAAAAGTGCTGACAGCTCAGAGCCTGGAGCCTGCTTCGGATTCTGTGTCTTCTGTTCCTCCTCACCTGCTCCGTGTTTCCTGTCTTCTGTTCAAAAAAATAAACAAACATTTCAAAAACAATAGAACCACCTTTGAGCTGGTGCATTTGCTGAATCACATAACTTGGGCTTTTTAAGTCTTATTACACACAAAGCTCAATGGGGGATGGTGGGGGTGGTGAACAGGCCAAAGCCCTGGGCCTGTCCAAAGTAGAGTGGGGAATTTCACAGAGAGACCTCCTCACCATAAAATAAGCTTTTTGGGGTGCCTCGTGGTCGCTGGTTGCTGCCCACTGCCTCAGGTCATGATCTCACAGTCCATAATACCCCCAAAGAGATCAGGCTCTGTAGGCTGACAGCTCAGAGCCTGGAGCCTGTTTCAGATTCTGTGTCTCCTCTCTGACCCCTCCCCATTCATGCTCTGTCTCTCTCGGTCTCAAAAATAAATAAACGTTAAAAAAAAATTTTTTTTAAATAAATAAATATAAAATAAGTTCGCCCCTCCACCTCCAGGAATGGAAAAAAGCTGACTTGGCACTGAGGGGCTCTGAGTAAGTGTTTGCGTGTGTGTGTGTGTGTGTGTGTGTGTGTGTGTGTGTGAGAGAGAGAGAGAGAGAGAGAGAGAGAGAGAGAGAGACTGTGTGTGTGTGTGTGTGTGTGTGTGTGTAAGGGGGGGTTGGCCCCTAACAAGCTGTAACCACAGAGCTGCCCCTTGATTGGATCTGCAGCCCAAATTCACATCGCCTGAGTGGTCAAAAAAACCCTCAAGCTGAATATGTAAAGCACAGTCCCCTTACACCACAGTCCCCTTACACGGCAGGACAACCCCGGTATCCGACACACATAAGTAAGTGTAGATCCTCTCGGGAGGAATGCTCCTCGATTCTCGGTTTCCGAGATCCTCACCCCAAGGAAACGAGGCAGCATCAAGAACCAGCAAGATCAAATCCACAAAGACTTCAGATACTGGAATCACCTGACACAGATCACAACCCAACTGTTAAGAACACTGGGACAGGTTTTAAAAAATCCAGTCGACTTCCTCCAACTGAAAAGTCAATAGCTGAACCAAAGAACTTAGTAGACAGACTTAACAGAAGAACAGACACACTTGAAGAGAGAGTTTTAAAGAGAGACAGAATTAGTGGCTGGAGCACAGGTCTCGAAAATTATCTAGAGTGTGGCACAGAGAGTCAGAGAGACAGAGTGTAAAAAGGAAGAGATTAAGAGACAGAAGGCCGAGCAGGAAGGCAAAAAACACACGTCTAATTAGATTTCCCAAAGGACAGAAATGGAGCAGAGGCAGTACTTGAAGGGTAAGGGCTGAGAACACCATCAAACTACAGATTTGAAAAAGCCAAATAAATCCCAAGCAGAAAAACATAAGAAATCCACACCCATACACATCAGAGTGAAACTACAAAAACAGAAGACAGTGAGAAGAGTTTAACAGCAGCCAGACAGCAGAAATCACATTACCTTCAAAGGGCTTAGGGAGACTTACAGCTGACTTCTCAATAGCAACAATGGAAGCCAGAAGACAGTAGAATGATCTCTTCAATATGCTGAGAGAAAGTAACTGTCATCAAGTAAAAATATATTTCAAAAACGAGGACAAAATAAAGGTATGTTCAGACGCACAAAAACCCGAGGGTCTGTTACCAGCAAGCAGGCCCTCACTACGGGAAATTCTGAAGGACGTACTTCAGACAAAGGGCGAATGATCCCAGATGGAATGTCTGAGATTTAAAAGAAAAAAAGAAAAGAAAAGAGAACTTAGAGCAAAGGGATTTGATTACGTGGATCAACCTAAACAAAAAACCGCTAAAAAACAAAACAAAACAAAACAAAAACCCAAAATCCAAAAACCAAAAAAACAAAAAAATAAGAAGAAGAACAATGTCTTGTGAGGGTAAAAGAAAAAAAAAAAACCCCAGCAATTACGTATTGTGTGTGTGCGTGTGCATACACGCGTGTGGGGGGGAGGTGTATAGTCAAACCAAGTTAAAGTCTGTTAAAGTATCCTGAGGGCCTTGCAATGTTCAGAGAGAGAGGGCCAAGACATGAACTGATATATTAGACTACAGTAAGTGGAATACACGTTATAACTTCTAGGGTAACTTTTAATAAAAGTACAGGACTAGAGTATACAGCTCCCAAACTAACAGGAAAAAGAAGTAAAAAAAAAAAATCAATCCAGATGAAGGCAGGAAGAGGAAAAGAAAATAGAAAAGGCAGGATAATAGTACAAAAAAATGTGTACACAAATTAAGAAAGCTGTAACAGAAATTGTTAGTCAAGGACGTAAACGCATTTCTTTTTCACCTTCCATTAAACTGATCTCCTACAAATCACAGTATTACATAATGGTCCAAACTTCTGTTTTTTCGTTCACTGCAGTCAATATTTAAAACGTCTATCATACTGTAGGCCCTACAGTCGACACAGAAAACAGACCCGGTTCCTACATTTATGGACCTTATTACTGTTGAACGGGTAAGAGAAAAGTTAATGATATCACAGTTGTGATAATTGCTAGGATGTCAATAAACTGTCTTTTTCACACCATCGGGCACTCCTACGTTCCTACATCTTATTCAACTATTTCTCCTTAAGCACTCAAGGAGAAAGAAGTTAAGTCTTGGCTACACAAAAGTCGAACAGAATGGCAAATCAGTACGTACCAGATATTACTATATTTCGTTTGATCTGCAGTTAGTAGTCTGTCTTGAAAGCTGGTTACTAGTTCTGGAGCAGTCCATCGCAGAGGGAAAATTTTTTTATCATCTGTTTCAATATAATCCTCCTGTTTTATTAGAAAACATACAGAATTTTTAATTCTATTATGTTTTTTAGCGAAGTCAATGATTTAATACCAGGTCATTCTCAGAAAACAAATACTCAACCCAAAAGACACATCAGACAAAGAAGTGGGCGTCAAGAGAGATTTTCTGGGCAGGAGGTGGGTGAGGTTTTTCTCTGAAGCCTCCTGGGCTCCATGAGCTGCTTTCTGAGCCATGAACGCTCGCCCAGCCATGAACCTTCCTTCCTGGAAAAGGAAGGTATGCCACGTCGGATGCACAGAACACAGACTCTGAGCAAAACATCTTTTAAAACATGCTGGGTCTTATGCCCCAAGTACGACAGCAGTGCCTACCTTACTGAATAAAAGCACAGACTTGAGAATGACACAGACTGGGTTGTAAGTCCAGGCTCAACCGTTCACCTGCTGGCTGACCCTGGGCAGCCAACAAATATGCTAATAAGCCTTTTTCTTTATCTGTTAAATGGGGATCATACAATTCCCACCTCCCTTTATGGTGAGGATTAAATGAGATAATGCCCGCAATTACTTCATGGTGCCTGGTAGACAGCAAGGGCTCAAGACACTAGAGGTACCGTGTAGACAAATAACCAACTTATATTTGCATAATGTACTTCAGTTACAAAATACTATGAAAATATGACCCCGGGGTCCTCACAAGAACCCCGTAAGACAGAACAGACACGACCCTCGTGTCACTGCTGCTGGCGTGGAGCCAGGACAGTCACATTCTTTGCCCCACGTCACACTACCTCATGCAGTTGGGCTACACAAAAACAAGTGAAAACCTCAACTACCTCTTATCTTCTTTGGGGATACAGTTATGGCAGTGTTTAAAAATCTAAACCTCTAAGCTTACTCAATTTGGGCCAAAACTCTACTGGAGAAATATTGATATGACATGCACAGTATTATTTTTTGATACAGGTGGTCATGAATTATTGCCCATTGGTTCATGCTAAAATTTATTATGCACCATCAAATTACATCAATTACACAGTGTAAAAGTCTTTTTACCCAAAGCCTTTGGAAAGCGGTCACAAAACCTCAGCACAGAGCCACTCATCTCGACAAACTGCTCGTCAGAAGCCAACACTACTGTTAAAATGAACAAACCGCTCTCCAGAAAGGCAACGTAGCCAAGATCTTACCCTCCTCTGACGAACAGGGTGGCATTTGTGATATGACCACCTCGGGACTATGAAATCAAATCAGCTTCAGGAGAGAATCTTTAAACCTTGGCTTACCTTGTACCTGCTGAGTCCTATCCCATAATCTCCCACTTTCACATTTAGATCCGAGGTAAGGAAACAATTCCGCAGGGCTAAATCACTGAAAACAGAAAGAGGGATGTGAGCATGAGGACAACGGGAACCCGCAAACAGCACAATGTGACCTCAGATTTGCTACAAAGCAGAGTGGTGTGCTGGGCTCCCTGGCTCCATAACGTTTTAGATTCTTTTTTAACGGGAAAGGGATTATATGTCACGTTCTTTGTTACTTAAGTCCCTGGTGACGATCAGATGGTTTTACAAACAACTGCTAAGGTTAAACGCTGACCACGTCTTTAGCTTGTGCTGTGTCAATACCAGATCAATGGCTCATTTCCCAATGTTTTAAGAGTGACCAAGAATTCTAAAATACTAAATTGTCTGAATAGTTTTTTACAGTAACTTGTATTACTTGAGTAACAGTCTAGTGGTAGTCTGTTTATTAGGAGTATAGATGAATAAAGTTACAGCCTCAAGCACCTAAAGTTAATCTACATTATTAAAAATGTTTGCTTTTTAACTTTTTTTTCTCAAAGACATGTGAGCATTCTAAGGAGGCCCTTTCCAAATTACTTCTTGCAAACCTCACCTCTCCACAGGTAGGTAAAGAACACATTTTCAGGACTTGCTTAAAATAGTTCGTTTGTATCGTTTATTTAAGAACATGTTAATTCTCAAAAACATACCCAGTGAAAAGTAAAAACTGCTTTTTCGGAAGGAACTTTCCATACAGACAACAGAGTCAACACTTCGGATTTTGGTATAAGCCCTTTATCATCTTTTAATCTTTTTTATCTTTTTAATCATCATTCGGCATAGGAATTAAAAAGTCCACTAAGTCAAGACAGAAAAGCATACTGAATTTAGTTTCAAATCATACAGTTATCAAAAACTGGCTTTCTGTGGTCCAAAACTCCACATATCTGTCTTCCTCTGATCGTAGAAGACAATCCTATAGTGATTCCATTCTTATCTTCAAAGATTTTACTCTTCAAAGCTTCCACGTGGGGAACAGGACGCTAATGAGGCTGGTGACGGCAGCACTGATTCAGGCACACATCAGTGGCTGTTATTTGCAAAGCACTCACTCTACACGGGCACTTCTCTGAGCTCCAGCCACGTATTAACACATATACTCTTCACGATGAACCTTTGAGGCAGATGCTATCATGCTCCTTATTTACAGATGAGGAAGCAGGCCTAGGAGCAAAGGAACTCCACTAGGGTGGCAGAGCCAGCGAGAGGCCGTCCCCACCAGTAACTGCCAGCGACAACACGTCAGGCCAGCAAGCAGAGGGCTGTTTCGTGCGTACGGCTGGTCCTCAATGAACAGGTGCGGACTGAGACCTCCAACGGGTTATGTTCAACTCTTCTCTACGCTATGTTTGCTAGTGGTAATTTTCAGTGTCCATTCAGAAGCTTTCGGGCCTGTGGTGTCTGGGAGCAACAGAGAAACTCCCAATCTTTTTTTTTTTTTTTTTTTTTTTTTTTTTAGTATTTATTTATTTTGAAGGTGAGAGAGCGCGTGCAGGTCTCTCGAGAGTGAGAGGCGTGGGTGAGGGACAGAGAGAGAGAGGAGATAGAGAATCCCAAGTGGGCTCCGTGTTGTCAGCACAGAGTCTGACGCAGGGCTCGATCCATGAACTGTGAGATCATGACCTGAGCCAAAATCAAAAGGTGGACATTTAACCGACTGGGCTAACCAGGTGCTCCAAGAAACTTCCCATCTTGTTTTTCAATGTTCATTTGTTTTTGAGAGAGAGAGAGAGAGAGAGAGAGAGAGAGAGAGAGAGAGGCACAGAGAGAGGGAGACTGAGGGTCTGAAGTGGGCTATGAGCTGACAGCAGAGAACCTGACACGGGGCTTGAACTCACAAAGATCAAGAGATCACGACCTGAGCTGAAGCTGGGCATCCAACCGACTGAGCCACCCAGGTGCCCCAAAACTTCCAATCTTAAGAAAATTAGTCTCCTTGTTTGGAACGAAGGAGGCAGGAGGGAGGAAGAATCAATACACCATTTGAGAGCAGGGAAGCGGACACACTTCCAGGCAGGTAGCACCGTGCGCGGGACCGGCAGCCGCAACAGGACAGGGCCGCGGGTTCCGCCAGCAGAGGTTCGGTGTCGAGCACCCCTGACAGGCATTTCCGCAGTCTCCGTTGACAGATCCTTCTTAACCTTCCCCACGTCCCCCTCCTTGGGCGGGAGTTAAAAGCCTCATTCCACCGGGGCCCCACGCGTGCCGCCTGACGCTGGCGGGGGCACCTGCAGAGGCCTCGGCGCCTTCCCCGCGGGCCGTCCATCCGGGCCGTCCGCCTGAGCGGCTCCTGGGCCGCTCCGCTTCCCCGCTCCTCACGCCCGCTCAGTGCAGGTCCTGACACACGTCGGACGCGAGGGCTACGGAAAAGACGAAAAGTTACAGAAGCGAAAGGCCACGGCTCTCACTGTAAAAGGCATCCTAACACTCGAATACGACCCGGCCGGTGTTCTGAGGGAAACGCTCCTGGTCGCCTGGAAACCGAAGCGATGAGGCCAAAAACGGGGGTGCGGCTGGGGGGGCTTGCACACCTGCCCCCTGCCTCCACCCCACACAGACCCAGAGCCATACACGGCCCAGGGGGAAAAACGGCAGACAAAGGCGACCCGGGGCAGGTCACTTAACACATCAGAGCCTCGGTTTCCGCAGGAACAAACAGGGACGCACACTCACAAGCTTTCGCAGGGGTAAAATAAAGCTACATACGAAAGGTCTCTAATTTGACGCAAAATTGCTACAAACCTTCTCTGAAGCCCAACAGTACGCAAAGCAAAAGACCAGAAAAACACAAAGGCGTAACTTAACGGCACAGGTAATTCTTGACGTCAATGGCTGCTTTGGGTCGGGGAATACAAACATACGCAGCATATTCTCCTTCAAGTTGAAAAACAGGTCTGGTGGTGAGGGTGCCAGACGATCTCGCCCCGACAGGCTCCGTCTGGCTCGGTCCCCACGGCCGTCGCCTCCGCTGTGTGAGTGCAGCAGGCCGACACGGGAGGCGGGAACCCACAGATCTGAGGAGTTCCCCACCCGGGGTTCACCAGGAAGCATCACTGCTTGCTCTCAGCTCACACCAGAGCTAGTGTTAACCCATCTCCAGAAGGACTGCTCGACTGGAAACAGCTCAGCGGGGCCGGAGCCATTTTCAAAATGGCTCTATTTATGTTACCTACACTCTCCTGAGACGGCCCAACTCCTGACAAAAAGAGTAACAGACGGGAAGCAAAGTTACTGAAACTTCGCACTGAATATTCTTCTAGGGCGTGACGTACATTATCTTAAGTCATCTTGACAAAGCACTTCAGGAAAACGATTATCCCTTCACAGAAGAGACAGGGTCGGAAGGATTAAAGGTCGGCGCGTATCTTCTGACGAGCGCTGAATTAACAACTTGAGCCCCAAACCCCTGCTTTGCTCGCAGCGCTCTGCCTCTGGCAGCCGTGAAAGTGTTAAAATAATCATTCCGTGGTTCTGAAGAAACTGCAGGATGTGGCTCAGAAAGGTGCGAGCACAAGACGAAAGCAAACGGGTTCTGAAACGGCACCCAGGACACGGTCTTGACCGCTTTTGCTCCTGTTTACTAGGTAAGTCCTTGCTAGCTGAACCACGCTGCATTTAGTGAGCGCCCGCTGCATGCCAGGCACCCGCCAGGCTCTGCGTGTACACAGAACACCTGCACCGTGAAACGCTGGGTGGGCCCTGAGGAAAAGGTTTGGCCAGGATGCCGTCCACCACCGACGGCCTGGGCTTTGAGGCCCGGGGATCATACCAAGCCTTCAGTTCTCCGCTCTCCCCAGGGCTGGGCCACAGCTGACACTGAGGTGGATGGTCAGGCTGCTAGGGGTCTCCACCCCTGGTTATGGCTCATCTCCTCACCGGAAACAATGACCAGACTGCACAAAATACATAAGGAAGCTGTTTTCAGGTCCCGCACAGCGGACAGCCCAGGGCTCCGACCCTGAAGAGAAACCAAATACCAGAGGTGAGCTCCACATGCGCTCCAGCTTTCCGTTGAGGGTCCTTCCCAAACCACGGCACAGATCCAGAGCCCAGAGAGCAACAGCCTCCTTGGACGGCGGAAGCAGAGGCTGCCGGGGAGGCTGAACTGTAGGGCAAGGTGTAAGGAGAGGAGGGGTAGGCGGGGAGAGCACGCGAGGGCCCCTCTGAGTCTTGTCTGCGGCCACCTCCTGAGCTGCGGTGCCCTGGAAGAGAACGAGGGGCTGACAGAGGACACTCCCCAGAGCCAGCAAGACGGTCAGCGTGCAGCGACTGCCCTCAACACCCTGGTGACGCCCCTCAAAGTCCTTAAGCAGGAGGGGACTCTGACATAAGGCAGTCCCCTGGGCCCGTCCTGAAGACATCCAAACCAGGGCGGGGCCAAGCTGCCAACGAACTGCCCTCCGGACACAACCGCGTCACACTCGGCGTGCGTCGGGATCACGAAGAAGGTGAGTGAAAACGCAGTAGGCCTGCGGTGGGGCCGGTACTCCCCATCACACAACTCCCAGAATCCAAGCCGGGGCTAAAAGGCCACATCAGATCAGGGTCAGAGAAGGCCGGCGTGTTTCAGGTGTGCACGTTTTAGCAAGTGACAAACCAGCGGGCTTAAGAACACAGCACTACACCACGGGTCCCAGAACACTGACTTTCCCAAAAGGCCCAGGACCATCTAGAAAAAAATGGAACATTCAATACATTACTTAGCACCGATGATTTTAAACTGACACCTAGGGTCCCAAGGCAAAGCGGCCCTTCCCTCGAAGACACCCACTTTCACCTTCCCTCTGCTTCTCACACATGCTCCTCCTGCGGTGCGCATCCCTTCCCTGGCGTGGCCGGCCCCCACCTTCAGCTCTGTCCTCCCTAATCCTCTCTGCACAGCATACCTGCATTTTGCATTAACTGGGTTATTGGAATACTAGGCTTTTTCTAAGGCTTCCTGAACCACAGTTTCTTAATTTTCTTTTTTTAATTAAAAAAATTTTTTGGGGGGGGGGGCGCTTGGGTGGCTTGGTCGGTTAAACG